GGACTTCGCCTATTTTGTTAAAAGCTATATCCTGGCCCGGGGTGGTGGCTCATGCCTGTAATCCTAGCACTCTAGGAGGCTGAGGCGGGCGGATTGCTCAAGGTCAGGAGTTCAAAACCAGCCTGATTAAGAGCAAGACCTTGTCTCTACTAAAAATAGAAAGAAATTAATTGGCCAACTAAAAATATATAGAAAAAATTAGCCAGGCATGGTGGCACATGCCTGTAGTCCCAGGTACTCGGGAGGCTGAGGCAGGAGGATTGCTTGAGCCCTGGAGTTTGAGGTTGCTGTGAACTAGGCTGACGCCAGGGCACTCTAGCCCAGGCAACAGAGTGAGACTCTGCCTCAAACAAGAAAAAAAAACCTATATCTTTATCATCTACAACAGTGTCTGCCTGGCTTGTAGTAGATTTTTTTTTTTTTTTGAGACAATCTCTCTTTGTTGCCCAGGCTAGAGTGAGTGCCATGGCATCAGCCTAGCTCACAGCAACCTCAATCTCCTGGGCTCAAGCATTCCTATTGCCTCAGCTTCCTGAGTAGCTGGGACTACAGGCATGCGCCATCATGCCCAGCTAATTTTTTGTATATATATATTTTAGTTGGTCAATTAATTTCTTTCTATTTATAGTAGAGACGGGGTCTCACTCAGACTGGTTTTGAACTTCTGACCTCAAGCAATCCACCCATCTCGGCCTCCCAGAGTGTTAGGATTACAGGCGTGAGCCACCTCGCCAAGCCTGTAGTAAATTCTTAATCGTTGTTGAATGAATGAATGGGAAAGTGAGTTCTGAGATCTATATTACCCAGAAGGCTTAGTGCTATCAATGGGAATGTGAGTTAAAATGCACCAGATGGTAGGTACTACAGATACTTTTGAAGTGATTGTGCTTTAAAAGCTAAAATGACTAATTTACTGTTATTTATGGGTCTTTATTCTTAATTTTAGAAGTTCAATCACTTACACAAGTGTTTCTATTACTTATTACCTAGCACTGTTCTAGTACAATAAATATGAGACAATTTGTAAGGATTTCACAATATAAGAATGCTCATTTTTAGGCGACTTCCGGGGGCCCCGCTCTTGGGGCCCCAGAACCTCGTCCACGAGTAAAAAAATATTTATAAAAAAAAAAAAAAAAAAGAATGCTCATTTTGGAACTGGACAGATCTGGATTCATATCTGCCATTTATTAGCAATATAACCCTAAGTGACCCAGCTGTTTGGAGCCTGTTTCCTTGTCTGTAAAATGGGCATGATGCCTGTATCTCACAAACTTTTTTGTGAAGATCACTTGAGATAATTTATGTAAAAGGCTTAGCATAATACCAGACGCAGAAACTCCTCTTTGAATGATAGCGGTGACAAGAGGCAGTTTGAAGGACTCTGGAGCTAGGCTGCTTGTACCCAAGTCCTTCTATCATTTTCTAGCTAGTGACCATGGGCTTCTTCTGTATCTTGGTTTCCTTTTTTTTCTTTTCTTTCTTTTTTTTTTTGAGACAGAGTCTCACTCTATTGCCTGGGCTAGAGTGCCGTGGCGTCAGCCTAGCTCACAGCAACTTCAAACTTCTGGGCTCAAGCAATCCTTCTGCCTCAGCCTCCTGAGTAGCTGGGACTAACAGGCATGCACCACCATGCCTGCCTAATTTTTTCTATATATTTTTTAGTTGTTTGGCTAATTTCTTTCTATTTTTAATAGAGATGGGGTCTTACTCTTGCTCAGGCTGATCTCGAACTGCTGACCTTGAGCCATCCTTCCACCTTGGCCTCCCAGAGTTCTAGGAATACAGGCGTGAGCCACCACACCCGGCCTGTATCTTGATTTCTGCATCTGTAAAATGGGGATAGTATCATAGTATCTGTCTGAGAGTATTGGGATGGTGATTGTTGTGTAGTAAAGCACATATAAAGTTGTCAGCCAGGCACAGTGGCTCATACTTATTATAATCCTAGCACTTTGGGAGGCCAAGGCATAGCAGATCCTATCTATACAAAAAAATTAGCTGGGCATGGTGGTGTACACCTGTAGTCCCTCCTGCTGCTTGAGGGCTGAACAGAAGGATCGTTGAGCCCAGAAGTTCAAGCCTGAAGTGAGCCTGAGGCAGGAAGATCGCTTGAGGCCAGGAGTTCAAGACCAACCTGGGCAATAGCAAGACTGTCTCTACTAAAAATGGTGACGTGGGCCTGTAGTCCCAGCTATTCAGGAGGCTAAGGAAAGAGGATCTCTTGAGCCCAGGAGTTTGAGGTTGCAGTGAGCTATGATCATGCCACTGTACTCTAGCCTGGGCAACAGAACAAGACCTTGTCTCAAACAAACAAACAAAAAAACCCCAGAAGTTTTGAATGTGAAAAGGGAAAAATAATGTCAGGTCTTCATTTTATTGAAAACATAATCCAGCAATGGAAGCAAGAGAAACATGAGGTAAAGTAACTTGCCTACCCTGGTCACAAAGGGGCAGTGGCTGAACTGGTATCAGGACTCTTACCTCTTCTGTCAGCCTTAAAATAATGTTATTTTTGGCAGAAATGGAAAGTTAGAGTGTCATTCACTAGGGAGACAGGGCCAACGCAGAGGCTGGCTTCTTGTTGTATTTGCTCAAGCAAGCTCTGTGGGTCTTGCTTCCTGATTGCCTTGTTTCTACACTCCCCAATGTCTTTTTATGGTCCATCCCAGGTCCTACATTTAACCACACACATCTCAGTCAGAGCTCTAGGGCTTTATTACAAAAGGAGTTGACTGCTAGACAGGTACCTCTCCAATCTTTCTTTTGTATCCTCTTCCCTCCCAACCCATCCCCTCCAGGGGAGGTCAGTAAGCCATTATGGAAGAGAATCTGGGGAGAGTTGAAAGGGGCCAATGCTTTTTCCAAAGTCCTCTGAAACAACCTCTGGAGTCCTTATGGCTCCAGCTGAGAATCTTCTGGTGGAAAAGGTAAGAACTTTAGCTCTCATCTTCAAGGTCCTTCATGTCTACATCCTGGGGGGGTTTTGTCTTCTTTTGCCGTTTGGGCTGTGCTTCACTAGTTCTGGCTGGCTTTGAAGGGGCTTCCACTGAGTAAAGGGAAAGAGGAAGCATTAAAGAACCCAAATAAATCCAGGCTCCCCTTCACCCACTTCTCTGCCCCAGCCTCACCTTCCATGGCTGCCTTCTCTTTCTGGGCAAGCCGGATCTGCTGGAGGAGTTTCCTGCGCTTCTTCCCGGAAAGAGTAATGTTGGCACGTGTACTGGACCTGAAGGGTAGGTAGGAGCAAAGATATCAAGATTAACCTGAACTGACCTAGGTCACACAGATGGTTCTGTCTATGGAAAGATATTTGTATTCAAATCACATAACAGTCTGAAAGTCTGAGCTGTAAAGGTTGTGAGTTAAGTCTCTCTATACTTAGATTTTAACATACTTAACATTAATCTCAACACATACCTCAGGATTAAGTATTAAATAAAATATGTTCAGTGTTAAAGTTCAGTATGTAGTAGACACTCTAGGTTGGGTGCACTGGCTCACGCATGTAATCCTAGCGTTTTGGAAGGCCTAGGCAGGAGGATTGCTTGAGGCCAATTTGAAACTAGCCTAAGCAAGAGGGAGACTCCAACTCTACAAAAAATAGAAAAATTAACTGGGCATGGTGGCACACACCCATAGTCCCAGAGCTACTCAGGAGACTAAGGCAGGAGGATCATTTGAGCCCAGGAGTTGGAGGCTGCAGTGAGCTGTGATGATGCCACTGCACTCTAGCCCAGGTGATAGAGCAAAACCCTGTCTCCAAAAAAAAAAAAAAGAAGAAGAAAAGGAAACAGAAACTCTAAATATTTAGGCTGAAGAAGCTATTGAAAGGATGTAGAAAGTAGTTAATGAATGACAACTCTTCCGCAAGACTCAGGGGGCCTTGAAACTTCTAAGGAAAATCCTATGTGTACCTTTGGGAAAATTCTTGTATGCACTTTTATGTGCCCTTCTCTGTAAATAAAAATAAGTTTGCTTATAAAAAAATCTATGTGAATGTACAATCTTACTGTAGGTGGGAGAGTCGACAACTTTCCAACAGAGTCCAAGACCCAAGAAAGGGTGGCAGCTACCGGTTATTGAGAGGCTAGCAGAGTTTAGGAATTAACACAGCCGACAAATATTTCCCTCATATACGTGAGTGCACGAGGAAAGCAGATCGGTGTTGGTTGATCCCGAACTCTGCAAGAAGACTCGTTGGGAAGGGCCAAAGGGAAGAGGATTTGGTACTCACGCCCGCTTCTTGAGGTGGTGCCGTGTGATCAGCCCCTCGTCTATCACAGCCCCAACCACTTGGTGCTTCAGTCGCCGCTCCCGGTTCAACACCCGCCGGCGCTTGAACAGCTTCTTCTTCAGTTCCTGCGTGGGAGAAAGATGCAAATGAGACCGAGGCGGCGCACTGCAACCTGGGACAGCTATGCCCAGCAACCCCGGCCCCCCATCAATCCGATGTCGGGCGAGACAAGAGGGCTCCAGGAGGTTTGGGGAAAACAAAACCGCGGCCCCAGCGCAGTCACCGTTCGGGGCCGGTTGATCTTTCCCCCAGGAGCCCCCATGATCTCAGCTCAACGCCTGGTCCGCACTTCCGCTCCGCGTAGGGTCCGCAGAGCTCCGCCCCTCAGCCCTCCGAGGGCCAATCACAGCTCGGGGGCGGGTCGCAGGGCTATATAATGTCGCTAGCCAGGCCCTCGGATCTTTCCGAGGGCGGCAGCAGGGTGAGTGTGTTTGTGTATGGTGTTGGCGGACTGAGGTGGCCGTGCGAGGATTTGGGGCTGGGCTTCAGGACCCTCCTTTTCTTGGCGGGGACCGGGCGTGTGGTCCCGCTCCCCGTTATGTACGGAGGCAGAGTGAAAGGGCTCCGGCGTCATGTCTTCGGTGCCGGCGGCTTCACATCCGCCGGTTCTATCCTCAAGCGCCGGGACACCGGGTTTCTTGGAACTGGGCAGAACCGAGATCCAGCGGGCTCCGACCCGGGGTGCTCACGCCTTCTCCTTTAATTTCAGGACGACGGACACCGCCCCAGGAGCGGGAGCTGTTGTATCCTAGCCCCTCCTGTTACACTTGCTTGCAACCAATAAAGGCCGTTTCTACCGTAGCAGGTCTGTGTCCGCGTTCTTTATTCTGAGGCTGCAGAGTTCGGGGAGGCTGTAGGCGTTCTTCTACGCGGAATTTGCAGATCTTCCTTTGGATCTGAGGCCCCTGGCTGGAGTGCGATCGGCATTTCCCACAAGGTTCTCTGGCTGACCTTGCCTGGACCTCTGGATGGCAGCGTTGCACCGAACGTTCCACGTGCGGAGCCTGGTGGCTGGGACACGCCGGGCCTTGGCGGGTAGGGAGACTGGGAGCTCCGTGGGAGGGCAAGGTGGATTCTGAGTGACCTGGGAGCCTAGTCCTTGAAATTGTGGCTCTTAAAACCCCAGGGTACATGTGGGCCGTTTTTGCAGCGGTGAGATAGAACTTGGACACTAGATGACACGTACCCTCCACCCGTGTTCACAGGCTCCCTGGCTGGTAGCTGCCTGGCAGACCGCTGCCTCTGGGATCGACTCCATGCCCGGCCTCATCTAGGCAGTGTCCCCACCTTCGACTGGTTCTTTGGATACGAGGAAGTTCAGGGGCTCCTACTGCCCTTGCTGCAGGAAGCACGGGCTGCCAGTCCACTGCGGGTGCTGGATGTAGGCTGTGGAACTTCCAGCCTGTGCACAGGCCTCTACACCAAATCCCCACACCCAGTGGATGTGCTGGGGGTGGACTTCTCTCCTGTGGCTGTGGCCCACATGAACAACCTCCTGGAGGGTGGCCAAAGCCAAACACGTCTATGCCCTGGGCACCCTGCCTCCCGCCTCCACTTCGTACAGGCTGATGCCCAGAACCTGGGGCCTGTGGCTTCCTCAGGTTCCTTCCAGCTACTCTTGGATAAGGGCACCTGGGATGCTGTCGCCCGAGGTGGTCTGCCTGGGGCTTACCGGCTACTATCAGAATGTCTCAGGGTCCTAAGCCCCCAGGGGACCCTGATTCAATTTTCAGATGAGGACCCTGATGTGCGGCTCCCCTGCCTAGAGCAAGGGTCCCAAGGCTGGACTGTCACTGTACAGGAGCTAGGCCCTTTCCGGGGTATCGACTACTTTGCTTACTTGGTTCAGGGCTCTCATTAGTAAAGACATTTTGGTCTTGACCATACTGTTTCTCTTGGGCAAAGAGGGCTGGGAAGAGCATTGTCTTTGCAAGACAGATGGTTGAAAAAGAATTTGAGTTCTGGCTTCCGTATTTACTAGCTGGGGCACATTATTGAATGTTTCTGTGCCCCAGTTTACTCATCTGCAGAGTGGAAATAATACCTGGAGTTATGGCGGTTACATACAATGATACTTAAACATTTTGCAGTGCCAAGCACAAGTTGAGTGCTGAAAATAGAAAGTACATGTGGATAGCCGGGCGCGGTGGCTCACGCCTGTAATCCTAGCACTTTGGGAGGCCGAGGTGGGCGGATCGCTCAAGGTCAGGAGTTCGAAACCAGCCTGAGCGAGACCCCGTCTCTACCAAAAAAAATAGAAAGAAACTAATTGACCAACTAAAAATATATATACAAAAAAAAAAATTAGCCGGGCATGGTGGCCCATGCCTGTAGTCCCAGCTACTCGGGAGGCTGAGGCAGTAGGATCGCTGAGCCCAGGAGATTGAGGTTGCTGTGAGCCAGGCTGACGCCACGGCACTCACTCTAGCCTGGGCAACAAAGTGAGACTCTGTCTCAAAAAAAAAAAAAAAGAAAGTACATGTGGATCATAACCCACTTGCAACTACCTGGAGCTCCTAAAACAGACAAACTCAATCAAAATCCCAGCATTTACTTGTGTGATCCAGGTGGCCTGACCTCTAAGCCCCATTTTTCTCACCTGTATAAGTGGAAGGTGTGAGGTAGAAGGGCTTCATAAGTAAACCTAGGTGAAATGTTTGAAGGAGAGAGAACAATACTTACCCTCAAAGCTACTGGGAGGCAGAAGATGAGAATATTCCACAAAGCGGCTTCTGCAGGCATGGGAGCTTATTGCTGGGTCCCAAAAAGAACAGAGGTTGGGGGCTTCCAGACACTCTGTGTCCTCAGGAATCCAGGAGGCATCTTGCTCTTCCTGCCCCCAGCTGAGTCCAACATTAAATGTTCTTAAGGGTGACCTGGGGTTCTGTGGGCTCCAAGCCCAGCCTGGTGGGGGAGGAGGAGAGGTGAGAACCCATTAACAGTGAAAAATATCCCTAATATATTATTGAATTTTTAATTTTTTTCTTCTGAGTATGCTTGCTTGGAAATACTGAATTTTTAAAAAGATTATGAAACTGACCAGGTGCAGTGGCTCATGCCTGTAATCCCAGCATTTTGGGAGGCCAAGATGGGAGAATTGCTTGAGGCCAAGAGTTCAAGACCAGCCTGGGCATCATAGTGATACCTCATCACTACAAAATATAAGAAAATTTAGCAGTGTCTAGGGGTGTGTGCCTGTAGTCCTAGCCTCTCTGGCTGCTGAGGTAGGAGAATCACTTGAGCCCAGGAGTTTGAGGTTACAGTGAGTTAGGATCTGGCCATTGCACTCTCCAGGGCGACAAAGCAAGACCCTGTCTTGAAAATAAAGTTGTGAAACTAATTTGTGTAATTTTTTGCTTATGGAAAATAAGAGCAAATTATAATATGATTAAGAACCTAACTTCACAGCCTGTTTCTTCATTTATACAGTATCTCCTTTGGGTGGTTCTGAAAATCATGAGTTAAAGGTGTTTAGCACAGTGCCTGGCACATAGTAAATGCTCAAAAAAGGTAACTTCTATAAGAATATACACACACATAAGGAAAAAAGTTTAGAAGAGAAGACATCTAAGTTGTTAACTATTTCTGGATAGTTGGGTTTGGGGTAATTTTATTATGTTTTTCCCGACAACAAACAATGTAAATATTTTTTTTTTTTTTTTTTTTTTTTTATTTGCCTGCAGAAAATGGACAATGTAAATATTTTAAAAGTACAGATTAAAGAGTGTTACCCATTCTGACACCGAAACTGTCCTCTAATGTTTGCCAACTGCCTTTTGTCTCCCACATCTTTCTTCACCACTTTTAGCACCTACTATGTGCCTGGCACTGATGAATGCAGGGGACACTACTGAGTTTTCCATCTTGGCCCTACGCAGAACATCCAGGTCACAATGGCCCCATTGATCCATCCACCGCCTTCACCTGGCTCTTCACTTTCGTCCTGGAAGAAGGCCTCAGCCTCCTCTTCCTCACCATCTGTAAGCAGCAGCAGCTCCTCATGGGGCCACTGAAGATCCTCACTCTCTTCTTCATTCACCTCAGAGGCTTCCACAACAATAGAGGGCAGGTGGGACTTTTGAGAAACAACCTGAGTAGAGACAGCAGGGAGGCTGGGGCAAATTGGAGGATAAGCCAGCTGCAAGACACTAGGTGGATAGGTACTAACCTGAATATCCTGGCGCCCTTCAACCCTGCCAATCTCTCTTCTGTCCTTCCAGAGAGGGTTGGTCAGCCTGGGACTTTCTGGGTGCTTGGAGGAGCCTGGGCTATCTCTAGCCCAAGGCCCATCCTCCTCACTGCTCCCAGGCACAAGGGCCATGGTGGTGATTCTTAAGAGTACAAGGTGGTTGAACTCAGTAGAGTACTTCTGCCCAATGCACCCCACAAACTGTTCCTTTAATCTTCTTTGGAGCCTGGCCCCTTAATCACTTTTGAGGAGAGGGGGATGACATGCTAGGAGATTATGGGCCTTCTAGGGAGGGGAAAATGCTCAAGAGGTGGGATAGGAGCTTTATTTCTACTTACTGCCTGGAGACGCTGGGATGGCAGCAAGGGTAGGAGACAACAAGGGCATCTGGATTAAAGCCTTCTGAGTGAAGAGCTTTGATAATGAACTTGGAATTTCCTGACTTCTTTGCCTACTGGTTTTCCCAAGCTGGCATGTTTGTTTGTATCTTATTTAATGAATATTTATGTAGTGCTTACTGTTTACCCAGAACTGTTTTAAATGTTTGTATATAACTCAAATTATCCTAAATCTATGAGACAGAACTGTTATAAGCCACATTCTCCAACGCAGAAATCAGGGCACAAAGCTGGGCGAGGTAGCTCACACTTGTAATCCTAGCACTCTGGGAGGCCGAGGCGGGTGGATCGCTTCAAGCTCAGGGGTTTGAAACCAGCCTGAGCAAGAGCAAGACCCGTCTCTATTAAAAATACAAAGAAATTAATTGACCAACTAAAAATATATAGAAAAAATTAGCCAGGTATGGTGGCACCTGCCTGTAGTCCCAGCTAGGAAGGAAGGAAGGAAGGAGGAAGGAAAGGAAAGGAGGAAGGAAGGAAGGGAGAAAGCAAGCAAGCAAGCAGGGCACGAGAACTTAAATGACTTGCTTACAGTCAGTCACATGGCTGAGTCCAAACTAGAATTCTGTAATTCTGTATGTTACACAAAATCCAGAGTTTTCAGAGTTAAAAATAAAACAGTACTAAAACCAGTGCCAAGGGTATACCACGATGAGAAAAATAACAGATTGTTTGTAAAATAAACAAAATAAGCTGGGTGCAATGGCTTACATCTGTAATGCTAGCACTTTTGGAGGCCAGGTAGGAGGGTTCCTTGAGGCCAGTTTGACACCAGCCTGGGCAACATGGCAAGACTATTTCCACAAAAATTTTTTTTAAATTATTAGCCGGGTGTAGTGAGTTACAATCGTGCCACAGCACTGGGCAGGGGAAAAAAAAAATATATATATATATATATATGACATATTATATATATATATATATATATAATATATATATGTGCCTATAGCCCATTTCCCCACCTAGTACACTTGGCTTTGAGTTTTTGTTTCAGAGCTGAAGGTACTGAAAGGGATCAGAATGATGTCTGTAAATATCTGGATGACCACTATGTGTTGTGTTGAAAACGCACAAGTGACTGCAGGGAATTGCAGAGCAGAGCTCAGCCCTCTACTGATTGGGAAATCTCCGAAGACAAAAAACTGGGCAATTGTAAAACCCACAGCAACCATAAAGACACATACTTTCCCCCCTAGCAATCCCACTCTGGATCTGATGCAAAAGAGCCCCGCGCTGAGCCCCTGGGTGCCAGCATCTTTTTTGGACATGTTCAAGCTCCTTAGCTGCTTTAGGGACGATTCTCCCATCAGGTCCTCTCTAGCCGGGCGCTTCTCTATGGTTTCCCCCTCTGGGCCGCTCTAGCCTGCGCAGGGGGCGGGGAGGCGTCCGCGGCTGCCTTTCTAGGCTGCGGGAGGCTCCAGGGGGCACTTCGCTGGTCGCGCTGGGCCATGGGGACCGTGAAGAAAATGCTGGTCGCAGTCGCGATACTGGGCGCAGGGGCTGGCGTGGGCGCCGCTCTCTTTGCGTTGGTGACCCCGGGAGAGCTGCAGAAGCAAGCAATGCTGAAGGTAGAAGCAACTGGGAGACCTGAGGTGGGGTAGACGGGCGGAAGACCCCCGTCTGGGTCGCTCAGACTGCAGATCTCCCTTCCTGCCCTCAGGAAATGCCGGAGCAGAACCCGCAGCACAGGGAGCAGGCGGCCAGGACCCAGGAGCTAGTGCTCGCCACTCTGCAGGAGGCGGCGGCCACGAACGAGAACGTGGCCTGTAGGAAGAACTGGATGGTTAGCGGCAGCGGGAGGTCAGCGTGAGACCAGACTTGCCCCTGTGGGAGCTTGGACGGTAGCTCGGGCGCACTTGTCCGAGGCAGTCTTTCTTCTCTGGGGTCCGGACCCGGGATGTTGTGCCCAGGACTCTGCGGGGCCCCGGGACCTGCCGCTGGGTGAGCATGTCTCCCCTACACACACACCCCAAACCCTGCACTGACTGCTTTAACATCCGCGTCTCGGGCCGGGGCCTAGAGGGTGGTCGGATGTGACGAACTGAAGGAACCAATAAATCATGTTCTTTCACCCGGATTGTGAGCCCTGCAATTCGGATGGGTACCAGTACTTAGACACCCAATGTTGGTGCGTAGTAGGTGGCTGCTGCTTGCCCTACTTCCCAGGAGAGGCGGAAGCACACTAGGCATAGTGACCACATTTTCAAAACAAATCATGTGCTCTAAATTTGAGTGTGCTTCCAGGGATAAACTAAGTAACATTCTTCACATCAGAACTATGCTGGAAAAGCTTGTAGCAATGGATGCCTATAGAGCTGTGGTACCCATCCCCGGGCTGTGGAGTGGTACCAGTCGTGGCCTGTTAGGAACCCAGCCACACAGCAGGAGGTGAGCAGTGGGCAAGCACTGGAGCTTCTGTTTACAGCTCCTCCCCATGGCTGGCATCACCGCATAAGCTCCTCCCTTCTGTCAGATCAGCAGCAGCATTAGATGCTCATAGGAGCATGAACCCTACTGTAAACTGCATGCGAGGGATCTAGGTTGCTCTCCTTATGAGAATCTAATGCTGATGATCTGAGGCACAGATGCTAGCACTGGGGGTGGGTTGCAAATACAGATTATCATTAGCAGAGAGGTTTGTATAATTATTTCATTATATATTACAATGTAATAATAATAGAAATAAAGTGCACATAATGTGCTTGAATCATCCTGAAACCATCACTTTCCCCTCCCCTCCTACCCATCCCCATGGAAAAATTGTCTTCCATGAAACAGGTCCCTGGTGCCAAAACGGTTGGGGACCACTGCCATAGAAGACACTCAGGGCTCCTGTCCTTTGAGCAAGGTTGGAGAGGAACATCTAGCACTTAATCATAATGCTTTCTGTCGCCATTATTTGACCTACAGTTAATGGGTCTAAACAAGCTGAGAGAGGCTGATTTACGAGGAGTGGTGAAAGGAGCCTGCTTTGAGTTAGAACTTGGTTCAACTCCTGGATATTAAAAAACCTCAGTCCTGGCCGGGCGCGGTAGCTCACGCCTGTAATCCTAGCACTCTGAGAGGCCAAGGTGGGCGGATTGCTCGAGGTCAGGAGTTCGAAACCAGCCTGAGCGAGACCCCGTCTCTACCAAAAATAGAAAAGAAATAAATTGACCAATTAAAAAAAAACATATATACAAAAAATTAGCCGGGCATGGTGGTGCATGCCTGTAGTCCCAGCTACTTGGGAGGCTGAGGCAGTAGGATCGCTGAGCCCAGGAGATTAAGGTTGCTGTGAGCCAGGCTGACGCCACGGCACTCAGTCTAGCCTGGGCAACAAAGTGAGACTCTGTCTCAAAAAAAAAAAAAAAAACCTTAGTCCTATTCTATGAAAGATCATAACTGTCTTGAGAACTGTTAAAAAGCTTAACTTAGAAATGTAAAATAGTTTCCAATCTCTGAATCCAGTCATAGGACCTATTGGAGATGCCACTGAGGGGATGAGAGAAAGCAGTGGGGTCACAGCCAAGTCAACCAAGTCACTCCCCTTTTGTCTATTCTATATCCTGTGGTTCCCAAGCAAGATTGCAATTGAAAAAAGATTGTTCCTTACAATACAAAATCCTACAAAAAAGAAAGAAAAAAGGTTGCTCTTATTAAATAGAACACCAAATAAAGCTTTGTAACACCAAAGTGTAAACCCAGATGTGAGCATTGGTGCCATTTCCAGCTGCTGGATGGTGGCGTTGTAAGCTGAGCATATTTGTTATGTGTGATCTTTACAGTGTTAGTGTGGGCTCTTCCCTAATCCAAGAATGAGAGGACAAAGTCAGCAGCTGTTTGGCAAGACACTAGGGTGGGGTGCTCAAGAGGAAATATCATGAAGTTTGGTGGTTCAAAACCTGAGCCCTGGAGTTAAACCTCCCAGGTGTGTGTCCAGGTTCTACTGTTTGCTACCTGTGTCAGTTTGGGCAAGGATCATGGTGTCCTGATCTCTAATGTGGGAGAAATGTACCTACACCTAGATAATAGAGCCTTCATGTTTTCAGTGAATACATATAAAACACTTAAAATTGTGTGTGGTACAAATAAGTACTCAATACTTCTTAGTGTTACTAGGAAAGCACCAGTGTGGTTGTGACTTACTCTTCAGAGCAGAAGAGATGCATGTGTGAAGTGCAGATGCACCCTAATGCTCCTCTCAATGTCGTGAATGGCTACATTAAAAAAAATTACCCTTTTAGGCTGGCATGGTGGTTCACGCCTGTGATCCTAGCACTCTGGGAGGCCAAGGCAGGCTGATCGCTCAAGGTCAGGAGTTCGAGACCAGCCTGAGCAAGAGTGAGACCCCGTCTCTACTAAAAATAGAAAGAAATTAATTGGCCAACTAAAAATATATAGAAAACATTAGCCGGGCATGGTGGCACATGCTTGTAGTCCTAGCTACTTGGGAGGCTGAGGCAGGAGGATTGCTTGAGCCCAGGAGTTTGAGGTTGCTGTAAACTAGGCTGACACCATGGCACTCTAGCCCAGGCAACAGAGTGAGACTCTTGTCTAAAAAAAAAAAAAAAAAAAATTACCCTTTTAGTTGCTAATACTTCTTGGGAACGAATTAGGTGCCAGGCACTGTGCTAAAGCACATTATATATCAGTATTATGCAACCCTCACAACAACTACAAGCAACAGGCACTATTATCCCTATACTATTAAAGAAGAAACCAGGCTTAAAGAAGTTAAGGCAATGGCTGGGCATGGTGGTTGATGCCTATAAACCTAGCACTCTCGGAGGCCAAGGCAGGAGAATTGCTTGAGGTCAGGAGTTCAAGACCAGCCTAAGCAAGAGCAAGACCCCGTCTCTACCAAAAATAGAAAAAATTAGTTGGTGTGTTGGAGCATGCCTATAGTCTCAGCAACTTGGGAGGCTGACACAGGAGGATCGCATGAGCCCAGGAGTTGGAGGTTGTGGTCAGCTATGATGACACCAGTACACTCTAGCTCCAGCAACAGAGGGAGACTTTTTCTCAAAAAAAAAAGAAAAAAGAAAAAGAGAAAAAGTCAAGGCATATAGCTAGTAAGGATTTTAAGCTTATGCAGTCTTACCCATAGAAACAAAAGCACTTCTCCTCCTATCAGCTAATCAAACCTAGGGATTAGAAACAAGGCTCATCCTAGCTCTTGGGAGGCCGAGGCGGGCGGATTGCTCGAGGTCAGGAGTTCAAAACCAGCCTGAGCAAGAGCGAGACCCCGTCTCTACTATAAATAGAAAGAAATTAATTGGCCAACTGATATATATATATAAAAAATTAGCCGGGCATGGTGGCGCATGCCTGTAGTCCCAGCTACTCGGGAGGCTGAGGCAGAAGGATCGCTTGAGCCCAGGACTTTGAGGTTGCTGTGAGCTAGGCTGACGCCACGGCACTCACTCTAGCCTGGACAACAAAGTGAGACTCTGTCTCAAAAAAAAAAAAAAAAAAAAAGGGCTTTTTTTAAAAAAAAAAAAAAAAAAAAGAAACAAGGCTCTTTGTTGGAAACTAAAGATGAAGAAAAAGGTCTACACCTTCCCTTTCACTTTTTCCTCTGCCTCGATTTTGTCCCTCCCAGCCATTCAGGAAGGAGTGAGGCATATACAGAACTCAGAGGTTCTATTTATTAGGAAGAAGATGTCAGTGCTTTATCAAAGATGAAGAGGTCAGAGAGGAATGGCAGGATAAAGGCCCATCAGCTGGGACATTTCTTGGCCACGATGAGGACAGCAGAAGGCACTAGTCCTGAAAATAGAAGAAAAACAGGCTTGAACCACAAGGACAGTTGCTTTTTGTTCCCCAAATTCCTGGCCTCACACCATCTCCACCAAGTCCCTTCTCTTTGCATCCTTTCTTTTCCTAAGCATGGGCTCCCCATTCCCCCAAGCCCTGGTTTCTGCTCTCGCATGCCATACCCAGCTCCTGCAGAGGCCGTTCCATGTCAGCTTCTGAGAATGCCCGTCTGGGGAAGCCACTGAGCAACTGCACTGGGTCCTGGTCCCCTCCAGGTTCTTCCCCACGGTGGAGCTCCACATAGAGCCTCACAGCTGCCAGCTGTTCCCGGGCCCGGAAGGTCTGGGTCAGTGAGGTCCCGTCTGGCAGCCTGACCTAGTAGGCAAGGGAGATATCCAGTGTTGTGAGTGTCAAAACTGAGTGAGGGCTGAGCACAGTGAGTGGCTCATGCCTATAATCCCAGCACTTTGAGAGACTGAGGCAGGAAGATCACTTGAGGCCAGGAGTTTGAGATCAGCCTGAGACCACAGAGACCCCTGTCTCTACAGAAGAAAAAAAAAAAAAGTTGAGTGTGGTGGGGCACACCTATAGTCCCAGCTACTTGAAAGGGTAAGGCAGGAGGATCCCTTGAGCCCAGGAGTTTGAGGCTACATTGAGCTATGATTGTACCACTGCACTCTGGCCTGGGCAACAGAGACCCTGTCTCAAAAAAACAAAACAAAACTGAGTTGAGCCGTCCAAGTAAAGAAAAGGAGAGCTAAAGCTGGCGCCCCCTCCTTCCTCTTAGATTGATCCAGCACAACTACTATTTAAAGCACCAAAATGAACAACCACTTATGCTCTGCTTTACTAAATATTGAAGAGAAAGACTCCCAGCTCCCTCACACATTGAGAAAGGACAAGATTATACAAAAACAGCTGGATAAATACCACATCATGCAAATAGCTGTGTAATAAACCAAATGAAAACATTATAAACAAGTAAAAGAGTAACTGCTGAGTAAGAGGGAGGTATGGATTTAAATAAGACTGGGGCAGGTGAAATTTGATATCTTTCCTAAGAGTAGAGGAGATAGGATTTCAAAAGTCATTTACAAAGAAGGGAGAGATTTGGCAAAGGGAACTTAAACTGAAAAAAAGCTCTGAGCTAGGCACCTCATAGGCCAAGAAAAGGGGTCCAAAGAGCAAGACAGGAATCAGAATCAGTACCTGTATGCGACACTGGTCATACTCCCGCTTGGTGGGAGGCTCCTGGCTGGGAGAAGAAGGAACAGGACCTGGCTCTGGTGCTGGTGGGGATGGCTGAGAACCCACGCTACCACCATACTAAAGGACAAA